TAGACAGCCTGTTAAAACCGATTTTTAAAATAGATTTGTTAGGTTTCCCAAAATGTCTAATGTAAGCCTGGTAGTTAATATATGGATTACCACGTGGTTTCAGATGTAAACATAAACAAGCAGTGTAATCTTCAATAATATGAAACGAATGTATACATTAAGATAACGTCTGTTGGAAATAGGTCTGACAATCATTTTTGTTTAAATATGTACCACAAACAAATCCGACTTTATTAGCATTTTGTACTTTCGGTTTCTACAACCATAATAAAAATACATAATGTGTAGTGTGTTTTTGTATCTATGAATTCACTTATTTTAGGTGAACTTTTATTTTGATAAACTGCAAAAAGACTAGTAAACAATTCAGCAGCATTAAATTACTATTTGTTTACATGTTTAGTTTCTTAGCGTAGGTAAGACCGAAATACCGTATTCATACTATTGTGTTCGAGGTCCTTATACGAAGACTGACGGAAAGAGCCGAAAAGTTGCGAATCACAGGTGAACGTCACGTGGCCATGACTTACACTATACCCCCGTTCCCCCTCTACAGCATCATACAAACATCATAAGTATTGACAAAAATAAAAATTATAGAAAAAGAATATATATATATATATTAGAGTCATATTTTTTTTCCTCATAATTTTTATTTTTGTCAATACTTATGATGTTTGGGTTTTGGGATGTAGAGGGGTAACGGGGGTATAGTCATGGCCACGCGACGTGCACCTGTGCTCTAAATAGGAATTAATACAGATTCATACACTAATATGCATGTATCTATACCTGTCTGTATTTATTGCAGAAAGGAAACAAAAAATAGATACCTTTAATTAACTGTACGAAAATGTTAGTTTACTATTAATTAATGAATAACTTAAAGGAAAAATACAAATTTTTAATTAGGGCAGTTTATTTGAGATCTTATCTCGATACAAACAATTCTTGTGCTAATCTAAGACAGTCTAAATTTTAATGTTCATGAAGTTGGAAACCTAGCAGCCTGAAGAGCACGAACATCTAAATTTAGTACTCAAATAACTTAGTTGGCAACGGTATGTATACATACATATACAATAAAAAATTATTGTACTTTGGTAATTTTTATCAGAAATGGGTTTTCGCACTACAAAGTACAAAAACACTGAATAAGTGATAAATAATGTGATAGTATAGTTTATGAAACGTCACGTAAACGTTTTACTATATAGCCTAATGTGATGTTACATGGTGTTTTTTCGATCAATCATCCTTGAAATAATGAATATCACCCGGTTATTGTTATATTTTTTTTTTATTTTGCAATATCCCGCAGGGGCGAGTAATCTATATAGACTAAAGAAATCGTCATGTTCTAGTTCTCTCCCCTGGCCGCCTCTGCTCTATTGAAAATTATCGGTGTTGTTTAGCATGCTTCTTGCATAGACATTTAAGCATGGCATAGAGTACATTTTGGTATAATTAAAATCAGTGATGAATGACTATCGGAGTAATAATGCATAGCGGTGAAAACTTACATTAAATGTTGGTTCGGTATAATAAAGAGTTGTAAATACACACTATTACCTTGAAAGACTTGTGTTATTATTTGTTGTTATTATTATGGTGGCTGATTTGTACCATTCGTGCTTTCGCTCCGCGACCCCGCCAAGCGAAAAGTCGAGAATTTACAAGTTAAAATGGCGGGAGCGCGGGGAGGAGTTTTAGAAATTAAACGCGGGAGCGGATATAGCTTGAACACGATTTGCATACGAATACATACGACTGTTGTACGGTTCCAAGTACGGTCTAGTACGGCCTGGCACGTTTAAACACAACTTTTACTCGATTAACTCGACCTTCACAGGGTTTACATAGGGTCCCGCCGACTTTTGTTCGAGTTATGCTCGAATTATCACCTATTTGTGTATGTTATGATATAAATTGACCAATTCTGATGGCGTGTGTTATAAATTTTCGAACTTTCAACTAAGAACACATATATATGTGAATTTTGGTTACATAAAACAATGCAAGATGCAACAGATGACAGGATAAGGGAATTAGAAATCATGATAAGCCTGACAGACATTGGTGGGTCCCCCTGCTCATCATGTTCGGCAGGGGCAGAAGGTTGGAGTGGTCGACAGGCCTGGGGTGCGTCGGAACTTTCTTCTTTGGATACAATCTAGTATACTGTAGAAAGTATTCTGGGTAGATCTAGCAATTAAGGGTGGCAGCAGGTAGTTGTGGTTTTCGTTGTACAGTTCATGGTGATGTAAATGCCATGTAAGACCTATACAAAGCCGTGTGAGACCGTGTATACCCGTACTATACCGTGTATGCCATGCATGAATTGTACTTGAACCGTATTGGTCGTATGGCGTTCGTATGAAACCGTTTGTGCACTCGAGTGAATCGTACCGTGATCGTGTGACATTCAGATGTTAATAGGGTGTTGGATGTAGGACTTGGGACAGTCTCGAACGATTCCATACGATTTATATACGATCTTGGCACGGTTGGGCTCACTCGTGGAGTGGACTTCAAATACGGTTGTATATAACGGTCTCATACGGTCTCACACGGTCTCTTACGGTCTTGTACGGTCGTTTACACGATCATCCGTACCAGTTTTTTATAAGTTTTAAAAATCATACACGGCTTACACGGATACACTCGAATGGCACGAGTGTAACTCGGTTAAACTCACGGTTAGTTCGGTTGTTTGTACGGTTTACACGGGTGGCCAACCGTATAAGAAGTGTGTTTTGTGTGAGATGGGCTTTAGCGATGGCGCTAATTAGCGTGTTTTAGCTTTGCGCCCTCGCGGGGCGAAGTTTTATTTATTAAGCTTCACCCCGCTAATAAGCGACTTTTCGCTCCGCGCCCCCGCCATTTTTTTAACTTGATAAATTAGAGAGCATAGTCTCAAAGGAACCCAGAAAATTCTGGAAATCTATAAAACGTTCCTATAAAAAGTCAACTTCTAAGAATGCTTAGAATTACATGACCATTTCAACAATCTGTTAGGTGAAAATACAAACTAAAAACATAATAGATGAAGATCTATATACTGAAAATTTCGACGATGAAGAGTTTGATTTACCAATTACTGAATCGGAAATAAAAATTGCTGTATTTAAACAAAATAGTTTTAAATCACCCGGTCCGGATAGTAATTCAAAACGTCATACGATATTATTTCACAACACTGGTTGTTTTTTTTTTCAATAAAATATTCGACACAGCAGAATATCCTGAATCATGGTGGTTAGGTTATATTGTGCCTATATTTAAAGGTGGGGATCAGAAGGAAGCGATGAATTATCGAGGTATTACATTAAATAACATTTTATCAAAAATCTACTCGCAAATACTCTTAAATAGGTTAACCGCGTGGAGTGAAAAGTATGAAAAATTATCCAATTGTCAATTTGGCTTTCAAAAGGGAAACAGTACAGTAGACTGTATTTTCATTCTATCATATCAAAAGTATTAAAAAGCGGTAAAAGGCTTTATACTATATCTATTGAATACGAAAAATGTTTCGATAAAATTAACCGGCAAAAATTGATAAATCAAAACATAAGTACAAAAATGATTAATGCTATAAAGTCTATGTATTCTGTTGTTAGCTCTGCAATGAAACATAATGGAAAAATCCATTCAAGTTTCATCAACTCACATCAAGGGGGGTCAAACAGGGAGACGCGAGTTCTTCTCTAATGCTCATGATGCTCGTGAATGACATAATGGAACATATTAACAGATTTTGACGGTATATTTTCATTTAACGAATTTAAATATTTCCGGATATTATATGCTGATGACTAAGTATTATTTACTACCACAACTGAATCTTTAAAGTATTTATTAAACGATGTAGAAAATTACTGCAATACATTTTGTTTAAAAATAAACACAGGTAAAACTAAAGTCATGATTTTTGAAAAAGGAAAACCAACAAGTCACGATTTCTATCTTTAAGGCGAAAAACTAGAGGTTGTTTCATCCTTAAAATATTTTGGTGTTTACTTTTTGGTATAGAACGCAAAATTGTATTTCAGAACATGCGTCAAAAGCTTTATACCGTTTATTTTCTGTTTTTAATCAGTTCGAATTTAAGGTTTTTGAAAACATGTAAATTATTTGATACAATGATATGTTATTTATTAAACTACTGCTCGGAATTATGGGGTGGAAACAAAGGTAAAGAAATTGAACTGATTCACACTAATTTTGTAATCTTAATATGACTGAAAACGAATATCACTTCAAATTAACTTGCCCATTATACTTAAATATTAGCGACGTAATCATCATACCTGGCCATCTTTAAATAAATTTGATCAATTGATGATGACAAAAAATAAAAAAGAAATCGCAAATCTCTCGAAATACATATACTTTGCAAATTAACTTCGAAAATAACTTGATTAATTAATTACTAGCGTTCCCCTAGTTTTTCTTGAAACTATTTATTACTTCATACATTTTACTGCTGCTTTTTTACATTTTGTACATGATATATAATCATTTATTCCAATTCTAATTATGAAAAACAGGTTTCTCTCTTAAATTACTGTTCTTGTTTATTTGTGACTTTTCTTTTGTCTTATGGTAGTGTTTATATTGCATGTGTAACTACTACAGCTGTAAATATGTAGGCAGCTGAATAAATGTTGTTGTTGTTAATTCTCAATTTTCGCTTAGCTGGGTCGCGGGTGAAAACACGAATGCCACAAATGAGCCACCATACATTACTGTATATTATCTGCCATGTATAGTTATTATTTAAAGTAATAAGCTTATTTTGTAACTGAATAAATAGTAACGTCATTAATTAAAGCTAGCTTAACTCCTTAGGCGTTAAATCTTTATATAATGTACATGTAGTATATAAATAAACATACATAATTGGTGATATAATTGTAGATTTCAATCTAGAACATTAAACGAATATAATTGTAATGTTTTAATTAATAACAGCTAGATTTAAATATTTTACGAACCATTTTGTTAGGGCAATTGCTAACGATATAATCCGTTTGAATGAGAAAAAACTAGTAACATTACAAACTTTCATTTTCTTATTTAATATAGTGAAGGTTAATATCCAATGGTGACTTATCTGTGAGTTCAAAGTATATATCACACGTTATAAATAGACATTTCGAAAGTTTTTTTTATAGATAGATATCAAAACTTAATATCGATTCAAATACCTAACTTCTTTATTTGTTTAGAGATGGTGGAATGACTTCATCTGTCGTTTTCAAATGTAACAATTTGAATTTCTAAATATAACTACTCATGCATTAAACCATCATTTTGTAAATAACTACCTTAACATCACACCTGTAAAGTTTGGTCAAAATCTACAAAGTTATTTTTGGAGAAGATGTTGTGGACACCGACAACCGGTTTGATGGCAGACAAAAACCCATTGCGTATATATCAGTGTTACGGTTTCTAATTTCTTTAGACAATGGTTGCTTCAAACTGACCATTTACAGCAAAGTATAACCGTTGTATAATTAAACGTTTACCGTTGTCTATTTTATTCTTTCAATGTACGATTATAAATGCGAATATCGGAATATCATAGAAATGACACCATAAAAATGGGTTAAAGCAGATATGAATACGATTATTTCTGTTTTATGAATGAAATACGAGGTGTTTAGATGTTAGATGCTTATCATGTGAAATAAGTCGCCATAAAAGTAGCAAAACGCAATTAAGTAACAACATAAGAAGTGTCTTGTCTAGTGCACAAAATATTAAATCACTCATAAAAAGCAAAGATGATTCAACTTTATGGTTAATGATTACCGTTTAGTGAGTACTGTTTCGAGAGTACTGTTTCGTGAGTACTGTTTCGTGAGTACTGTTTCGGAAACTTGAACAGAACATCAAAAGTAACAAGCAATTATAAAACTATTGCAAACAATACAAAAGTACCCCCTGGTACTCAACAAGAATTATGTCAGCAACGATTTGAAGTGCCATGCCCTTCAGTAATGCCATTCTGGAAAACCTGAATGGACTTTTGATTTCTTATGTAAATAGTCAGGGTTTAAGATATCGACTTTTTCTTAATCTAAAGTCAAACAGATAAGAGAAAAAATATTGTTACAATAGTTAAGAATACCCCTAGAAATAAAATTTCATATTTTGACCTTGACAGTCTTCAGGATGTGAATCGTGTTTAACATGTGTAGTGCAAAAGTTCTGCTTTTGATAAAAAAAATCTTTAAAACAAGAGCACCACATGAGGTGTTAACGCTCGTCTGTAACAAAACTACTAAGTTAAAAAGGGGTATAACTCCATGAATATAACTTATATATGTCCTCTTGTCTAACAACTGCGCCTTGTCATGATAAACAAGCATTTCTAAGTTTTATATTGATACCTTTAAAACTGTTTGAGTAATGGGCTACATTCAGGTAGTCTTACTGCAATGCTTTCCCGCCAAGAAATCAACATCGGCCACTATCGTAGCAAATCGGTTTTTTCCGAAGTTTATTTTTTTCGAAATCTTTGGCATTAGATTGTTTACAATCACTCATCTTTAATCGCTATGTACATGTACTAAATCCCGGTTATAAACGGTAAAAGATTACTGAATACCGAAGATTGTGAAAAAATAACGTTTTTGCACGACGGCGACGCAGCGATTTTTAATAACGAAATAGAGTAGCGAAAAATTGACACATATAAATCCCAATCAACTACACCACAAACTAATATCTGCATACACACAATTCATTACAAGAAACAGTTGCCGACCAAAAATCCCAGTTATGTAAAATCAATTAAGATCATAATCCCAAAGTGTTGTATCAATCACTTTATTAAATGCGAAATGTCTGACCTTTCAAATATGACTGTGCCATTATATGTATAGGATATCGGCCTCGTACATCGATCTTTCTGTTTATGAAAGACCTGGTCACGAATTTCATGTGACACCGAGAGCGCGTAGCGCTCGAGGTGTGTCATGAAATTCGTGACACAGAAAGATCGATGTACGAGGCCGATATCCAACTTACACACCTTTAAACTTTATTGGCTTGGGCAATGGCTGATCCGAAGCATTTGATGTAATGCACAAATATTATTTTTATCACAACGCATAATTATACAGGTAAGCTTTTATCAACGTTCTGCTTAAATACAATATATTTATTGCATTTAACTTTGCTTTTCCCTTAAAAATAATAATCTAAAAAATTTGAAAAGTGAATAGGTCTGTAATGGAAGGTATGTTAAAGAATGAATAATGTTTATAGTATTTCGTATCAGACAATGCAGATTCTAGGACATTTGTCCCCGGACAGCAGCTTCCCCAGACGTTTGTCCCTTTTTTTGTTGTTGTGAATTGTCACTTGTTATCTCGTGTATTCATTTTTGTATGCGATGGAAACATTATAGTTAATTTATTTATGGGTGCTATTTGACTTTCACAAATTTGCGCGAGAGTTTTTGTGTATTTAAGCACAATGAAATTTCGACAATAGGTGATAAATTTTGGTAGCAAACAATTCAACAATAAAATAATTTAACATTTTTAAAACAGAGAGGGGGCAAATGTCCGTCCCTTCCAAAGATATGAGGGGGGCAAATGACCGCCACTTCAAAAAGGGGGCAAACTTCCGAGGTTGCAACTGTCCGAAGGGCAATGTCCGGATACCCGGCAGACCACGAAAGACTTACATATGTATATTGTTGGCAAGTGTGAGATACATGAACCGAAACTTTATTTTATATTGCAGATTATAAAGTGTTCTAGAAAATATGATCGTTCATCATAATTTTTTTTTACTAAATCACTTATAACTTTATTAACATTTTAAAATCGTAATAAGTATGCTGTGGTTACTGCTATTTAGTTTCATAGTTATGAACTTGAAGCGTCCATTCTGTTATATTGTGAACTTAATGACAGTAGAACCACTTGAATTATTACTATTTGAAGTATTTCTTTGAAAAAATGACGCGATTAAATAAATATTAAATGTGTCCTAACTTTGATATGCTCTCCATTATTTTTATTCAAAGATTTGATATAGGGATGCTGGAATAATTGCTTAGTGCTTCAATAAACATTATCTTGTTTAAAAAATGTATTCTGATTTTGTAAGTCAGGAACATTATGACAATCATTTAAATTTTATTTTAATTTTTAATTTTTTGATTGGATTTCATGTTTTCTTTGTCTGCGCATTGGCAGGTCTGTTTTTTCACGTGTATTTCATGACCGGGTCTGTCTGACTAGAACAGACCTGTGCATGTGCAAAAGATAGACCTCATAACGGACTTTCTTTTGTTTAAACAGGTCTATCCGAAAATAATAGACCTGTTACAGACAATAGAGGAGGTGTGTAATGATCGGAAACCGTTTTTACCTACAAGGTCAATGTGACCTTGTCCTTTGATCCCTTGACCCCAAAATCAATAGGGGTCATCTACTGGTCATGGCCAATCACCATATCAAGTTTGAAGTTCCTAGGCCTAAAGGTTCTTTAGTTATCACTCGGAAACCATTTGGTCTACGGACCGACGGACCGACAGACAGACAAATGCAAAGCAATATACCCCCTATTCTTTGAAGTGGGGCATAATTATGTCCACTTCATCTTGGTATGTGAAACATTTTAAACAAATGGATATGATGTAGATACATGAACAAAATTTTAAAGTGGTCAACAAGGCAATACCACATACCAAATATTTAATGTTAAGGCATTAATAAGGTATAAAGGTGTGCGTATGTGTTTCTATATAAGACGTGTCCTTGACCTATGAGTAGAACAATATGAACAACTATGAAAGAGGACTCCTATAGTGAGGTAAATATGCAGTATTTGGTTTCATATATATCAAGAGAAACTAAATAACACATTAGGGACAACAGATGAATAGGGATCCCAATTCCTGTTTATGCTCACCAGAGCACAACTTGCTCATAGTGAGCATAAAAGGGAATTATATTGTAAGAGGGCTTGTTATAATGATCATCTCCTGTACAAAGATTCAACGACATTAATCAACACAAATATAGTTTATCCCTTTTCCCTATATATCTAATACTATCCCGGATCCCGGGCGTCCCGGATCCCAGGATTTTCCCCCCACCCTAAATACCGGAAAGGATAAAATGACCGGAAAAAAGAAATAGAAAAAATGCACAGAACCAGATGTACACTTATGTTAATTAACCAAACGAAAACTTACTACAGAGAAAACAGGTAAAATCGCTAAATCAAAAGTCAGTGTAAATATGATTAATTGAAAAGAATTCATGAAAACAAACATTTTAATCATCATTATATATTTGCACTCAAAGCAATACTTGCTGCTTTTTAAAAATGGCGTGAAAATTGAAGGTTTTTTGAAGCTATGTAAGATTAAATTTGATTGGCTAAATAATTTTGGATTCCAGCCCTGACAGATAAATTTTGAGAAAGCTGGAAGCCAAGCTTCGATTAAATTTTTGGACGGATTCGGAGTTTTATGTTGTTTCTCAGTAAAATCCTAACGTAATACCGGCTCGCCGTGGCGAGCCGGCAATACACTCACGTTACGTCTTAGATACAGTATGATAATGCAACATTGGAGATTTATTTACGATTAGTTTCCGACTACACGTTTTTGGGGAGGCTATGCCTCCCCAATGTTAATACTATCCGTCAAATCTTACTGCCGCGGTAATCAGGTCAAAAAATAGTACCTTGATTTTTTCTAAGCTGACTGATCACTCATCACAGACATTTACAATATTAAAATATTTTCATTCTTTTATTTCATATCTGCAATTTGTAAAGATAATAATTCTCTGAAAAATTCTTGATTTTTGTTTGTTATTTTTTCAAAATCATTACTCCGTGACATCATACTGCCGCGGTAATCAGGTTTAGGCATACATACGTTGATAAAAATTAGTTCTGGTATGAAAACCCTTCTATATAATAACTTTATCAATATTTTTTAAACGAAAAGCATAAATGAAAATTTATAGGTAAATGCTTTAATTAGGTGGCAAATATTCTTTATTATTTTTGATAACAATTTTCCAATTACTACGCAGCGACCAACTGTTTATGACGGGTCATTAACTAGAAAGTTG